CACTGCCCATGTCACCGACAAAGATGTTAAAGAGCGCCGGTCCCGATACCGATCCTGAGGAACAGCACTTGTCACTGATATGAGTGTCCCGAATAACCAGACTCTCCACCGTCCCCCATCTCTCAGCAGATCTCACCGACCCGAGGAGAAGCTTCATCCAGCACGGACAGACCTGTTGTGCTGAGAGCACATTGCGAGTGCATGGTGGTGGTGAGGGCAGGCGAGGTGCCATCTGTGCCGGACCTGCGGGCGCTGCTGGGGGAGCGGGTCAGGCAGCAGGCAGAGCGAGGGAAACTGAGGTACGCTGCGGCACAGCCAGGCCCTCGTGCTCACACGTGCGTGTGACGGGGCAGCAGCAGCCTTTCCCCTGAGGATACAGGCATCCGACTGTGTCTGGTATCCTGGGAACATTTAGTTGGGGTCACAGCACTCTAGCAGAGGTTCAGCAAAAATGTGAGCACACAGCCTTCTTTGCAGGGCTAATCTTACTATGGCTTTTGGTTTGGAGAACAGTGTGTGCTCTGTGGGCGGTGGAAACCCAAAGGACCTTTCCCAGGAAACTGTACCATGGTCAAGAAATGAGGGAAGAGAAGGAAAAACTCTGTGCAGATGCAGCTGCTGTTTACTGGATTTTCTCCCGCTCAGCTCAGCCTTTAAGATACACTCAGATCAATGCAGAGCAGTTTGGGAGTTGGTCCTGGGGCGAGGTCTCCCTGACTGTGACACCCCTGGGGACACACCGTCTGCAGTCGGGAGGGTTTAGGATCTTGCCCTCCAGTAAGTGTGTGAGGAGGCGACGGTGTCACTCCCTGACAGTGCCGTTTCTGCCCGCTGAGCGTGCCGGGTGGCCCCATGTCATTGTGCAAGGCGACAAGCTCAGAGCTGACTTAAAGGGGACTTTGCAGACTGAAGATGGTAGAGGGCTAGGCTTGCCTCAAAGTTTGGCTTTACATGAGATGATTTGAGCTGTGTTAACAAACCCTTGCAGCTACAGGCATTCGGATGGCAAAGAGCTGGGTGCGGTTTCAGGCAAGGATGATCTAGGGGAGATGTGGCAGCAGCTGACAGATGGTGGGCTGACGCTCTGCTGCCAGGTACGTGGGCTGTGACAAGCTTCTCTGCTGTGCTGGACTCTAATCTAGTCTCTGCTTTGCCTTGCAACATCGGTGCTGACTTTCTTCTATAGGACTCGGACTCCCACTCGGGCAGACCTGTCCTCTACCGGATGCTGGCTCAACACTCTTACCTGGCACAGGGACCGGGGGACCTGGAGTTCAGCAAGGGAGATGTGCTGGATATTCTCTCTGAAGGTAGCTCTCCAGTGCTGTCTGCAGGCTGTACAGGGGCAGGCTTTCGGAATCTGCTGCAGGGAGGGACTGGGGAATAGCTGGCCTCTCCAGTGCTGTCTCAGGCTTGTACTCTCAGGAGGTACAGGCTTGCGCTGGGTTTTGTCCACAGGTAAATTCCAGCCATGAAAAATCTCGCTAACCCCACTCATGTGGGCCAAGGCTCATCCTGCTCCTTTGTGTTTTCCCAGTGAATGAGGACTGGCTCGAAGGATGCTGCAATGGCAAGACCGGCATCTTCCCCAAATGCTTTGCGACCCAGACCAGTGGTGGTGCTGCCTTCCTATAGCAAGCAGGAGCCTTTTCCTGCCTGCACCATCTCCCAGGGGTGGGAGACACCAGTCCCAGCTCATTTGGGCC